AGTGGAACGAGAAGTAGGGGGCGGAGCCAGGCAGTGAAGGCCGGTGGGGAGGGGGGGGGGGGGGGGGGGGGGGAGGGAGGCGGGGCAGTCGAAGGGGCAAAGAAAGGGACACCCTCGGTTCCAAGCAAAATGTTAAAGGTCGGAGGCAACTTTGGGAGCCACCATTTTATCAGTCCTAAAGCTTGTGAAGTGAAAACATTGAAGTGACAAAGTGATTCTGTTTGTTTTACAGTATCTAATTGGGCTGCTTTGCAGACCTAATGAGATTAGAGGGAGGAATCGTCCGCCGCCACTGCCTAATAAACCGATACATTACTACCAGCTACAGGTTTTGAGCATTGTAGAGCTTGTCTGTTTTTCTTTTGTTGTTTTTCCTCTCCTCTCTTTCCTCCTCCCGCCAAATAATTATTTGCTAGTAGATCGTGAGGCGGGGCGGAGAGGAGGAAAAAAAAAAAAATTTAGCAGCCCAGAACTATAATATATATCTATTTATTATATGTCTTTCGGTTAATTCCTGATCTGAGGAGCGCTGTTTTTCACTCCCATGCGAAAGTCACCAGCGGGTAGGGCCTGATTGCTACTTTTCATGCATAGTTTTAGACACAAGAGGGCATTGTGACGTCGCGCCCGGCGGCGCCCAGTCGCAAACCGAGTCCCGCTGCCCCACGTGGGGGCCCTGCGCTCCCATTGGCCAGCGCCGGGCGAAGCTGCCACATTATTTTGTTACTTTTCAGTCCCTATTTGGAACTGCTCTCGCGGCAGTTCAGACCTCGTGCTCGTCCCCCTCGCCTGTCTGTGTGTGGTATCCGCAGGTCCGGGGCACTTTTTTTTGGTGTGTGTGTGTGTGTGTGTGTTGGGTGTGTTTGTGTGTTGGGGGTTTGTCGGGGCGCGGAGACGAGAGCCGGGCCGAGGGGAAGGAAGGAAGGAAGCCGCAGAGCTCCCCGGTCTCGGGCTGGCGTCTCCACTCCAGCGCTCTCCTGCCTGCGCGCTCCGAGGCGGCAGCGGCGGTGGCGCCGAGCGCTCCTCGCAGGGGACGCGGCGCTCGAGCTGGGAGCAGCGAGGACCCCTTTGCGGAGGCTTCCCGTGTCCGCTGGAGTTAGTATGCCAGGGCGGTTGATTTGCACCTACTGAGCCCGGAGTTCCTCCCTGGTCCTGGGAAGGTCTTGCGGCGGCGGCGGCGGCGGCGGCGGCAGTAGCAGAC